CGTGCCAAAAACGCCTTACGATACTATGTCGTTTTTTTCATGCTAAAAACGCCTTACTATACTATGTCGTTTTTTTCGTGCCAAAAACGGCATACTATACTATGTCGTTTTTTTTTTTCGCTAAAAACGCCTTACTATACTATGTCGTTTTTTTCGGCTAAAAAAGCCTTACTATACTATGTCGTTTTTTTCGTGCCAAAGAAGGCATACTATACTATGTCGTTTTTTTCGGCTAAAAAAGCCTTACTATACTACTTCGTTTTTTTCGTGCTAAAAACGCCTTGCTATACATGGTCGTTTTTTTGGGCTAAAAATGGCTTACTATACATGGTCTTTTTTTTCGGCCAAAAACGCCTTACTATACATGGTCGTTTTTTTACATCGTCGTTTTTTTCGGCTAAAAACGCCTTATGAAACATGGTCGTTTTTTTTTCGGACTAAGAACGCCTTCCTATACCTTGTCGTTTTTTTCGGCTAAAAACGCCTTACTATACATGGTCGTTCTTTTTGGGCCAAAAACGCCTTTCTATAAATGGTAGTTTTTTTCGGTTTAAAAAAAAAAAAAAAACGCTTTTCTTTACGTGTTTGTTTTATCCTTTGAAAACTTTAAACTACCAGCCTGATCTGAAGCCCAACTAGTAGTGCTTGTACTGTATATTGTGAGGGATTGAGCCCGCGGCCCCTTGCAAGCCACCCACAACCTCACAGCACAGCATTGGTGAATAAATCAGACGATGCTAAAATTGCCTTTATTACGTGAAAAACAAGGATCAGTGCATTGGCAACAAACAAAAGGTCAAGTTCACAATTCCAGGTGGTGGCGTTGTTTCCCGTGGCTAAATTGCAAACAAAACCAGACCACTCGCAACAAGACGTGCACCCGTACCGCATCCTGGAAGTCCAAAATAACCACTCGGTGAGGGTCACGTCATTCAAACACCAAATATGGCTCAGTGCACAAAAAGGGAATGGACGCTTGTAAAGTGTGCAAAAAGTCTTTTCTTTCGCAGCACGAATGTCAGTTTCCGTGCATTCTAAAAGTGATGCTCGGTGTGATGATGCAACGAAAGGGCGTCCCGTCGGCCCCGAAGATTCCCGACGGGCCCGGTCTCATGTCGCTGGCCGCGCGGGCCTCCAGCACCTGGCTCTTGACGTCAGACATCTTGCTGCGCACCTTGGCCATCTGCGCCTTGAGGCGGACGAGAACCGCAGAGTCTGGGGGGGAGCGGCGCACCACCTGCGGACGGTGCTCCCGTTCTTTCCTGGAGGGTAAACTGGCTGGAGGGGACACGGAGAAACGGCGGGTCGTTGGCTTTTGGCTTCCGCTGTACGAGGGGCGCGTCTGGCGCCGCTGCGCACACCTTGGCCGTGTAGGACTCCTCCGCTGGCGGCCCGGCCAATGGCGGAGCTGAGAAGTGCGGAACGCAGACAGGAGCTGGCGCCGCCTGAGGAGGAGGCAGAAGAGACAATGTCAACCGGACAATGCGTTAGATCAAGTCTGGGATTGACTTTTGACAACATTCGGGACTCCACTTCATCCGAATTTGTCGTTGCCTTTTGAGGGACGGACGGCGGGTGTTTCTTTTGACCCTTGAATGTGAAATTTAGACATGAATAAATTCAAGTGAGTAAATGCAGCAAACATTTGTTCAGGATTGCGGGGTCACTCATATTTTACATCTCCAAGAAAAGTCCTTTTTTCAGGTCAGCGATACGGCCTTGGCGACATAGTATAGAAACGTTCTGGGCATGACTGGCCTTCTTCGGCACTGGCTCCCAAAATAAAGCCCATACAAGAGGCCTCGCTGCGGGGCGGGAGAGTTGAACATTAGCGTGCTCACGATTTTTTCGACAAACACGCATTGTGTTTTGAATATGAACAACAACAACAAAGAAATTGCGTCTGCAAGCCTTTGGCCAGAGTTGCTCTCCCTTCTGATCAATTCCATCGCGTCGGTGGTCCCGCTTTGGCTTTGCGGCTTCCAAAAAGATCATCGGGGGCCTCGGCGGACTGAGTGCTGTTTACGCTATCGCACCTTTGACGTGTCAGCGTCTGTATACGAGCGTCCATTCATCTCCCCTTGGGCGTGGACCGGATGAAAGCGCCCGTGGACATTTGACCTTCCGGGAGTGCACGTTTGGGTGCCACTCAGAGGATGAACCGTCACCGACACCATTAGCGCGTCTTCGTTTTAGCCCCTAATGACCTGGCCCGCACTTTTTATTTACTTTGGCGGCACGTGAACCCAAATTCATCACGAGCTACCAAACCCGCTCGCCATGGCTGAAAATCCACATTATGTTGTGCGATCTAGCAGAAGAGAGCAAGCGTGAACAAGGAATGCCGCGGCAGAACGAGGGACTACATTGAAGGCCGAATGCGCATGATGTTACATTTGAAAGAGCGTCAAAAATGAAAATGCGCGATCCAGCCGCGCGCGGCGGATGAATCGCAACCGGGTGGGCGTCGACCCGATTGCGAAATCAAGGCTAGATTTTCCTTTACGGCCACGAGATGGAGATTGTAAACAAAGTGGACGGCGCAGGAAGTCAGCCCAAATGAGACAACAAAGAGAGCAATCCGAAAATGAGGGTCCCCATTTTTGGGGGGGAAATTGCGCTATTTGTAATTAATGCTCAATTAAACTCCAGGCGGGCGCCCCCAAATCCCTCGTAAGGTCCCACATGAGCCGCTGCAGCTGGTCCACATTGGACCGCAGAGCTCTGGTTACCTTGTTAAGGTGAACTGGCTTCCTCTCTGATCCGGGAGAGCAGTTTGGCCTGTGTAGAAAAAAAAAAAAAAAAAAGCGGGATTACGTGCAGACGGGAGAAACTTTTCAATCAGTGAAAGTATCGATCGATTTAAGGAACGTCTCAAGAAACAAACAAAAACATCCTGCTGGTCTGCTGTCATTTCGACATTTACGATTCCAAATTGAAACGAGAACACGGTTGCTCGAGATGAAAGTTTTTTTGCGACGATCTGAAATGATTTGGCTGGCAAGCATCAACGCGCTTGCACGACGACATTCCAGCGCGGGGTCGTCCACACATTGCGGCGCGCGTGTTGATGCTGAGTGAATGGTTACGTGAAGCTTACGACAGGAGCGCACGTGCGTCCCAACGCCTCGACCTAATCGCCCCCCCCCCCCCCCCTCCAAAGCAAGCCTTCACTCAGCCGTCTTCATCATCATCATCATCATCATCCCAATTGGAAAGGTCACGGGCTATTTAGTGATCACTTGAATCCGTCCAGGAGGACCTTCTCGAATCATTAATGTACTTTGTGAGCCCTCGCAGGACAAACATGGCACCCGATAGGGTGACTACACGTGTCACCGGGTAGTCACAATGATGTAAGACGTATAATCGTTGTGGTTTGTTTGTGTGTGTGTCTATATAAAAATGAGCATTTTGAAAAGCAACCATCCCAAACCTTAAATGGAGCTCTGAGCCGAGTTTCCCAGGTGCTGCAGGCCCTGCGGCAAACTCCGCCCCCCCCGTGAAAGCAGTCGTCTTCGCCGTGTGTCAGCCGGACGGCCCGTTTCACGCCCACGTCCCGCCCGAGGCGTCAAGACGGAGCCGGCGCCGGGTGACGAGCCCACATGACACGTGACGTGTCGGCGACATCGGCGGGGAGGAGGGCGGGCAGCCGAAGCTAGCTGGGGGCGCGCCACCTGAGCCTCCTTTGCGCCGCTGACAGTCGTGGCTTCCTGCGCGTGTCACCCCGACGAGAGCTGGGAAAGCAAATTGTTGCAAATCAGTCCACTCAACAGGGTTCGCTTCGACGTATCTTCTTTAACTTTGACCCTCGCCGTAAAAATCTTCACAGTTTTGTTTCGCGACCGGAACGACCCCGTGGCAGGTGTCAGATGCTTTTAGCTCGCGTTCGCACGCCGAATATGTTTTGCTTGCAGCCTTCAGGCAAGCGGGCCTCGCCTCTTTTGGGACGCTCGCACCGATGTCAAGTCATTCTTCGAGGCATTGTTATGCGACGAGCTTTCTGTTCTTATCTCATGATGATCGAAACCGAGTCAAAGGCAATGAAAAAAACCCAGAGAGACGAAGATCTTTTGAAAATGCAAAGGAGTTTAGCGATAAAGAGTCTTGGCCAAATTTGCATTGAGGTTATTTTAAAGGCTTGTTCACGCAACGTAAAATGTCAAAAAAATCGTAAGTAACAGGAAAGCTTTTTTTTTTTTTTGTTTGTTTGGGGTTTTTTTGTCCCAAAATAAACTTGTGATACGAGACCAAATAGTCCCCGGCTGTTGCATTGTTGGGCTAAAGACTTGTGGTAACAATGCTAATGACTGGCTGCTAACGAGCAGCTAATGTGCAAAGTGCCATTAGGCCGTCTTGTTATCTGTGCGCGCGTGCGTGCGTGTTTGCCCCGAGGGGAGGCTGTCGGCTAATCCGTGTTGACCGGAGGGCTCCGAGCGTCATTCCAGGTCACGGCTCCGCACCGCGGATCAACAAATTCCTCAGTGACGAAGGTGTGAGAGGAAGAAGCCGTCACACCTTCCTCATCCTCACTTCCAGGGCGGATTCGGCGCTGAATTTGTTTTGACGCGCGGCCGCAGAAGCAAAGAAAAGAGCTTTTTCCGGCTTTTCCGGGAAAAAGCGACAATTTGAATTCGTTGTGATGACGGCGCGCCGTCTTGTGACACGTAAACACATCAAATGTCAACATTTGGACTGTCCCAAAGGGCCGCGACGTTTGATGGACATTTTGGGGTCGTCATCCATGTTTTCTCTTGAGCTTCAAAATGGGGCGAAGGACGAAATATTGAGAATGCGACGACCGCGCGCAACATCGCGATGCTGCAGCGGATGCTTTTGTTTCTTGCGATCGGAAGACAGCGGCGGGGGGATTTCTTTGTCAATTGGCTGTCGTGATGTCATGATTGTTTGGTTTTGGTGATTTTTGTATGTAGATTTTTTTTCATTTGTTGTTGTGATTATATTTTGGGGCTTTTGTGTTTTGGTACTTGCTGTTGTGTTTCGTTATTTGTTTTTGGGTGTTTTGCACTTCAGGGCCAGCACTCGATGGAGCGGCCATCCAACTTTATTCCGCAGCAGTCCAAAAGGGCGGCGACAAAATCGCTCTTGTGATTGACAGTTTGGCGTCACACAGACAAAAAATGTCAACGTGGTGCGCCGGCATGGTGAGAAAGCTTTCGCGCCGTAGGACAACGTGTTTAGCTCCAAGTCGTCAACGCCACGCCGCCTTACCTGAAGTGGAAATCGCTGTGTGCGGGCCAAAAATCAACAGCGGCGCTCCAAACCGGCTCTTCTTTTTCTGTGTGTGCAGAAACAACAGGTCGCCGAGCCGCTTGATGAATGGCACTTTCTGCACGGTTTACTCTGCAGCGAAAACGCCTTGGAGTGACTCATTTTTCAGACTGAAAGAAGAAGAGGAAAGAAAAAAAAAATGGGCACGGTTGGAAGACATCACAAATATTAGCCGAATGTTTGAATGGGCCGCAAAGAAAAACTCCAGTTGATTCAAAGTGGGCCTTTTGTGTTGCCTTTTGTTTGTTTTGGCTTCTTCAACTGCACCTTTTCATACATCGAGGGAGAAAAAAAAACAAAACAAACGACAGCCTTGTTAAGGGCCTGTAAGTTTGCCAATAAGCCCCCAAAATGAGGGCAAAATTGCATCCTAAAAACAATTTTGAGTCTGAATACATCAGATCAAATCAGGAGGAATTGGGAAAAAAAAACCCAAACAAGCTGAGAATTAAAATATATCAATGTGGTGCCGTGTGGAATCAAGCCCGGCCAAAAATGTATCACCGTGACTGAATGCAAGACAATATAAAACTTAGATTTTAGAAAAAAAGACCATCTAATTTTACAAAAAACAGAGACGAGAAGGAAATTTTTGTGGGCGAAAATCCCAACTGAATTTTCCTTATCTTATGACATGATTATGGTACCGTAATTGTTGAGGCCGCTTCATTAGGGACGCTGTAGAATAAGACCCAAATTCATCAACAAATAATTCCCCCCAAAAAAAAAATTCTTTGAAAGATTGCATTGAGTAGATGCACGGAATGAACTATCCAAGGTCTTGTGACAAAGGCCAGTAAGCGTGTACCTTCTTTATCCTCGACATGAGCTGACCCAGACATTTCTGCTTTTTCTTTTTGCGAGGGGATGAAATTGCATGGTGCCGATGCCCACGGAATGCGGGATCCGAAGCTTTCTGACCTCATCTCGCACACATCCCAGATATGAGCCGAGCGACCTCTTTCCAGACTTTGGGGGTGGGGGCGGGGGGGGGGTTCATTCTTGTGAGGAGGAGCAATGAATGCGCTGCACAGGGGCTTCTGACGAACCGATGTCACATTTGGACGAATCAAACTCCCTCACGATCACAAACAATTGCGACTAAAAGGGGAACCTAGTGCACAAATATCTCGCCTTGGGCAATGAGCCACGTGCTGCTGCACCAAGACATCGACGAGGAATGAGAAGCCATTCAGGTTTTAATCAGTGCGTGTCGGATGGGCTGAGTCCTCGTACAAAGGCGGCAGTGTGAGCGTGAGCGTGGGAGCTGCTCTGTTTAGCGAAGGACCGACTACCTTTTTCTCCGTTCTTCGTGTCAACACCCTTCCCGAGTGATTACTCATTTGCCCGCTACCATGACGACAGCGCGCATGCAGTTGTACAAAGTCAACTCACCGGACTCGGATGTCATTCAAATGACACTTTGTCTATTTTAAAACAACTTCATAAATCAGCCTTTTGAAAGTTCGCACGGCTTCATGCCAACAGCCGCCATAGACAGGCTAACGAATAGCATCAATGTCTGTGTCGTACTGCCTCCCGGTGGCCAATTCGCACAGGACAGAAGGAGCAGCACGATGTCCATTGGAGTGAATCAAACAACGGCAAAAATAAAGAAATAAATGAAATAAAAAAAAATGATTTGAACAGATTAATGGCAACTGCATTCGCTTCAATAGAGAATGATGATGTGGGATGCAAACGTGGAACATTGTCCGTCCACGTATCTCAGCAAGCAAGCCCGGATAAAAAGAATTCAACATCAGAAAGTTCTGGCAGACTCACACACACACACACACACACACACACACACACACACACACACACACACACACACACACACACACACACACACGGCAGCGCCAAGTACTCGTTGCCCCGAGAGACGTTGATGAAGAGCCTCATCAGGCTTGTAAAGAGAAGATGGTCCACTTTGAAGTGGGCCTGACACTGTCCAGAAGCAAGTGCGTGTGTGTGTGTGTGTGTGTGTGTGTGTGTGTGTGTGTGTGTGCGTGTGTGCGCACAACTTAGCCCGTTTATGTCTGTGTTTGTCATTCCACAGTTATAAAGGTGGATGTAAACACCAAAGGAAGAAAGCGAGAGAGCAGGACGCCTGGTCGCAGAAGCCGTCATACGCTGAGTTAGCAAGCAGGAGGCAATTTGGGGCGCGGGGGGGGGCAAGTGAGCCAAGTCCATCAAAAAGCGGGCCCGGGCACAGCAAGCAGATTGCTAAGCCACAGATGGAACAGAAACAACAGTTTGGTGCTGAATGAGTCCACCGAGAAAATATGTAAATGTGGAAAATGCTTCAAAATACAAAACAAAACTCAAGTCATCATGACATTTAAAGCGAGCAAAACGTTTGCTGAGGGGAGGGACAAATCAAGATCGAATGTAATCAGGAGGGGGAAGAATGTGGGAGAGACGAAAGACAAAAAAAGAAAACAAAAGCGCGTATTTGCAGTTGGATTCGGGGATCAAACTAAACGCACGTCAGATTAAAAGAAAAAGAAATGCGGGATGGAACGTCACGTCAAAATCATGACATCGCGGGACACGTTTCTGAATAAACCCCCTGCGCGTGCCATGAAATGCCCCCACTCCACTCCCCGGGGCCGCTTGACGGTTATTGAAGAGGCGAGTGTCAGCGAGCGTCCCGTCACTTCGTAAGTCTTGCGGCGTCTTCCTCGGAACGGGCCTAATGCGTTCCGTTTGACCTTCCCCGCCGTAAATCGCGTGTCGGGCGGGCCTCAGATCTCGAGAGCGTGCGCATGCACGGGTGTCCGCATATTGCGCACGTGTAAAAGACTTAGCGGGAAAAAAAAAAAATTGTGAGATTAAAAAATATCAAATGTAAAGAATCAAGCGGTTTGGTTGACTCGATGGGCGTTGTGCGCTTGGTCACTAGGGGGCAGAATACAACATACGCGGTCGTCACCATCGTTGAAAAACAAAGCTGTCGTCTTATTTTTTCCCCCCAGCATTTGTATTTAGTACCCCTTTCAGATTGGATTCCTTTTTGGTTCATTTTCTTACACTGAGCGGGATCCAACGCGAAGGCTTTTTATTTCGTTTGTGTCCCTTGATTGAAAGTAATCCCATTCAGCGACGTGTTGATTTCCACTCATTATTAAGTGGTAGAGCGGTCAGGCCAGCATCAGTCAACTTCAGGTGCCAGCCCCGGGCCATCGGGCCGCTGTTTAATGTCGCACCCTGCTTAAAACTGCCTTTTTGTTGTTGTTTTTAAACACCTTATTTCAGATTAGGATTTTAAAATCCTCCAAACATTTTCTTTTCCACTTCCTGCCTGCACATGTGGCCGTATTGTAACACTTTTGTAACAAATTTGCAAGTCTAACAACAATAACAAGGCGAGTATAAAATGTCCAATGTTAATTTTGATTAGGAACTTTTGGGCAGTGGGGGTTTTTTTTTTTTTTTTTTTTTTGGGGTGCCACCGCCGTCCTGCTTCGCACGTTTGCTCCAAAGCGCAACAGCCGATTACAAGAAAGATTTGCAGCGGCTTCAGGGGCCTCCGGCATGCTCGAGAGGGGGCACTAGTGGGCCGCTCCGGAGCATGCCAGTGTGTGTGTGTGTGTGTGAGAGGGATATAAATAAATACTAGGGATAAACCTTATGAATAAGATTTTTTTTTTTAATATAAAGGGGATCAATGACAAACAGTGAAAAACTGGATGAATAAATCAAAATCTGACAGGAAAACAAAATTTGGGGAGATGTAAGGAATCAAACGCAGTTTTAAAATGACTGAAGCCATCCTGAATATTCTGAAAATCAAAACAATTGCATCGGTTAAGTAGAAATTCTGATGAAAGAAAATTAAAAACATTTGGAGATTTGCAAACAACTAAAACATTTGGGGTGGTGAAAAAATATATCTTGATGAATGTGTTTTTTTTTGTTTTGTTTTGTTTTGTTTTGAGAACAACATTTTTTAAAATTGAGTTTTTCATTTCGGGCTGCTAAAAGCTCAAAACAAGACAAATTGTGAATTTTCACAGATTAGTTTTTCCTCTCCCCAAAATTATATTATAATCAATACTTTTCATTACAGTGGTGCCTTGCCTGTCATTTGCAACAATTCCCATTTTTTTTATTATATTGGTTTGTTTACAACACAGTAATTACAATGATGCGTCAATTTTATTTTTTTAAGAGGACCATGTTGAAGACATCAAACTCGTGCCGCAAATCAAAATCTCATTCCAAAACATGTTCTCAAATTCTGTTGCACAATTTCACTTTAGGTGACATGACAAGTTTATTTGCCATCCAGATATGTCTGCTTCATGGAAGAAAACGTTCGCATTTTTTCCCGATGGAATTCAGCCAGTTGTTCACCTAACATCCAAATGTGGCATCGCGATGAAGTGGAGACATGTGCGTGCACGCTAAACCACAGCAAAGGACGAAAAACGAGGGCGACGAAGAGGGTGCACGAGTTGAACCCTCGCGGTCGTCTCCATCAGCGACCTAAATTTGCATTTAGCGTCTCATGGAAGCACGCCGAATCGCAGCAAGTGAGAAAATCAGCCTCGGCCGCCAAAGTTTGGCTTGATCGGACGAACGCGCGCCTCCGACGACGCCCGCTGAGGCTCGTCGGAGGGGAGGCTCCAGTCGCCACTCAGACGAGAGAGGAAGCGCTCGTATCTGCTTCCAATTTTTGGGATTCTTTATGGGGGGAGGGGGAGTCAAAAAATTCAAATAGGTGACGCGTGGTTTCCCTTGGACTTAAATGAGTCAGAAAGTTGGTGAGGAAACATTCACAAGCACAATCCAAAGCTAATTTTGCCCCCTTTCTTTCTAGCCACAAATGACGTGTTTGCGTTTCAAACGAAAATTATTAAAAAAAAAAAAAAAAGATTGCTGTTCACCGGGCGAGCGGTCGCCGCAGGCCGTCCAAGCCTTAATTGACATTGTCGTGCCTTTTTGGGGGGTGAGTCAGGATGAGTCAGCATCCGCACCTTCAAGGATTCGGTCCGCCCGCACGCATCTCAATTTCGTATCTTCTCTTCCGCTAAAACACGCCGGCAAATCTCATCTCGGCTTCGAGCGGGCGCCCCGGTCGTCCCGACGTTTACGTGAGGGGTTCAAGTCATTCCTCCGCGTGTCCCGCGGCCAAGATGGACGCCAGCCGGCGCGATGTCGTTACGGGGGCGGGGCTAGCAAGAGACAGGTGAGTCTATAGAGTAATTGGTTTCCTGGAGAGGATTAACTTGTCTGCCTCGGGCCTCTCCCTTCAACAATACGCAGGTAGTGTGTATATCCCCCGGTTGCCGGGGCGACAAGAATCTTTTGGCACACTCTTTGTCCCCTTCGCATAGCAAACCTTTTAGCAAGATGTTCTGCGCACGTTAATACGGACAGGTTTACGCGCTCGGAATGTTAACCTGGGTGAGCTAGCGCCGCGTTAGCATCCTAGCGCTAACACTTTAAGGCGCCGCTTTGGGTGGTGGCGGGATCAATTGCCGCGTGAACATTTTTCACCCGACCTGGTCGACGGCCAAACGAACCAAGTTCCGCGGAGCCACTTCTGAAATTTTTGCCGCTACTCTTCTGCTCTTGCTAGCTGAGTCACACTTCAAACCCAAAATGACCGACTGACTTGTTGAATTGAAGGCGCGGGTCTGTGAGACTTTTTCGCGGGTCCTCTTGAAGTAGACAAGACCGCCGAATTTCATGCCGATCGGTCAAACTGGTGTCGGGGGCTTTTTTATTTCTTTGTTTGTTTGTTTGCATTCAGGACCCCTTAAAAATCCAAACGTTTTCACCCTTTGCGCTTTGCTCGGTGACTTTTCAGGCATGTTGAGGCCCCCAACAAAGCAAATAAACACATTAGCTCCTCCGTGTAAGAAATAAAACAGGGCCGGGCCCCGAGCCGCATCGCTTTGCTATTATCGAGGGATTTCCATTTGATTGACAGCTGGAAAGCCGAGTGACACGTTCAGAAAAGGGAGGCTCGCCGCAGGGCCAAAGGCGAAGCGGGCGCGCGAGTTTCCCACCGAGCGGCCGGATGACGACGGCGGGCGGGAAGAGACGGCCAGACGCCTTCATGGCGTAAGTCGTGTCTGAACAAACTCCAGGCGAGGAGCCGCGCATGCCGTTCGTACGAGCGAGGCGAGGGAATCGCCCCGCGGTCGGCATAGTACAGATTTTCCCGTTCCAGTTGCTTTTTGACTTCATTTTCGATCCGGTCAGTTTGGATGCGTGCGTTTTTAGAGCAACTTTCTGAGCTTCCGTTCATTGTCATTGTTTTGAAAACGCTGCACTGTTCTCAGTTCTCACGGCACAGCCGATGACGCGAACGCTTGGCAAGCGCCGGCCTCGACGAGGCGGGCGAGGCTCCACCCTGACACGGCGCAGCCAGTTTGCCGCCGCATGCGCTCGCTCACCTTGATTGGGCCGCGCTTTGTTCCAATGTGAATGAAGCCATGATGGTCCGATTTACTCCGGCGCTGATGCGTCACAGGAATGTGCCACAGTTGGTTTTGCCTTGCGCGCCAACGCCCCGAAAGACCAGCGGGCGATTGACGGCAAGCCGCCCGTGAAGCTCCCGACACCGATGCGCCACGTCAACTGAAGAGGCTTCTGCTCGACCGTGAAAGTCCTGCTAAGAAGGCCAGATTCAAAATATTACAAAGCGCTCTTTTGACAACGAGCGCAATAAGACGTGTTTGTTCAACTAATGCCTACTAGAGAGTGTCAATCAAAACGCCTTCTTATCTGCGCACCATTTTTCATAGGGATGTGTACCTAATGAAGCGGCCAGTGTCAGCAAATCAACTATTTTGTACAAAAACAAAAAAAACATGGCCAACACACTCTCCAAACATGGCCGACACAATGCCAAAGAATCCACAAACATGGCCGCCACGCTGCTCCAGTGCCAATGGAGCGCATCCAGGTGTTCGTTCCTGTCAAGCCCTCATCGTTTCGTGTTCCTGAGCGAGAAAATCCCAAATTCACCCACCAAATCCGCGTCGGCTGATCGCGTGCCCGCGCGCATTGAAGCGGTTCGGCCACAAAGCCGCCGCGCGTTGGATACATTGCGAGTCGATCGGCACGACAGAATCCGAAGAGCTCGCGTTCTCCCGACCGGGTCCCGGTCCGGAGGTGGGAATAAGCGACGCCGTGGCGGATGCAGACGAGAAAGTATCGTCTCGACGATTCCAAACCGCTGGAGCGTTTGCGTTTGTTTTGCTCCGGCTGACTGCGACTCTGTGAGCGCGCGCCGCTTCGGTCTTGGATTTTGGGTTCCGGCATGCTGGAGGAAGCCGCCTCTCGCGCTGACGGGGACGCGTCCCATTGTTCTTCCGAAAGCAACAGAGGGTCAGCCTGACTGACTGCCATCCCATCGGCCCCATTAACTGATTGTTATCGCCGCTCCGGCTATGAGGGCGCAAAGCACTTCGACAGGCCGACGGCAGCGCTAACGCGTTTGCGGCCGCTGCCAGTTTGCCTTCCGGCGGCAAATGAGTCATTTGGATCGAGGAGGGCCAATTCTTCTCAACGCTCCGAATTTGTTTGCCACTCGCTGTCATTCTCAGACGAGCGGCTTGACTTAAGCGGCCCAACGGGCGGCGAAGCTGCGTTCAAAACGACGGTCCCCAGAATGGAAAACGGGCTCCTTCCCAGCCCGACATGTGACGTCGGCACGACAGCAAACCGACTTTGCTGTCGTGCGCGCGGCCGACGCACGAGAAAGCGACGAGGCCTTTCCTCGAGCGACTGGCAAAACACAAAAGGCGGCTTGAGGCGGACTCGACGGACACGACAATGCGATGATTAACGATGATTCAGCCGGATCGGCAGGACGGAGTTGAGCTGTGCCCTGAAAAGCTTTCAAATTTAACAATTGGACAATTGGCCCGGCATTTTCCCAAGCCAGAAATCATAAGAAAGTCATTCGGATATCCTGCCAGGCTTAAACGATTGTCACGTGTCAAGCAAAACCAAATGAAGGAAGTAAAAAAATGGACAAAAGCACAACAAATACAAACATGAGCTGACGTGGCGATTTCCATCTCGCCAAATATACACGTCAAATTAGGTTTGACAGCTTCTCACAAATCCCGATTTGGAGCATGATATATTTTTTTTATACCCCACAACCACCACCAATAAAAAAATAAAGGCAATTTCATTTTATAACCACTTTTTTTCTGACTCTAAAATAGAACTTTAAGTGTTTTTTTTTTCTCGAACATTCCCAAAAACCTACAATGGTGATTTTTCTGACATTTTAACAAACGAATGAAAGCCGAGAAATCCAGAATGTCACTTTTCAACTAATTACATGCCACGGCTTTTCACACAAATTTCCACTAAATTCTCAAAGTAAAAGTTCGGCAAGCCAACTCGGCAGGCTCATCTTTCAAACTCGTCTTCAAACTCATTTTGATTCTTTGGTTTCTGACTCAGCATGAGACTTCCGACTGTCTTTTTTTTTTTGTTGCATTGTTTGTTGTATGAATTACTTTTGCTCCATGTACCAAACTTGGTCGACAGCAGTTTTAGAAATACGGTTCAGTTGAGTTCAATTGCGCAGGCTAAAAAAAATAAAAAAGCATTACATTCAATTGATTTACTGCGGTTTCAGTGCAAAAAGCTGATTGTTACGACTCATGATGAGATCGCGTTTGATGGCGATGACGCGGCATGTGCAGCGCACCTCTTGGACGAAATCACTTTTTGGGGGGGTACTCTAAGTGCCCCCCCCAGAGAGCGGCCCGGGCCAGGGAGCCGACAACCTGCCAATTACCCCCGCGAGTCGGCCGAACGGCAAAGCTCGGCGGAGGCCGGCACACACAAACGGGCGCGTGCGAACTCGGAGGTGACATCATGGATATGTATGACACAAGCCGCTCGCGCAGCGCCGTGATTTCCCCAGGTAGCCCCGCTAAGCCCCGCGCGGGGCGCGGATTTGTCTGACACCTTGTTTAACACAGACGTCAAAGAAAAGAAAGAAATGAAGAAGGAGAGAAAGAAAGAAAGCCAGCTTACAACGGGGCGCTCGAGGTTTGACGGAGGTGTTCACCTCGCTTTGATTGACGGCGGGAAGGCGCTGGCAGGTTTTCGCGACATCCGCCGAAAGAGCAAGTGCGGACGGAGCCGCGAAGGCGGGCGCCCGTTCGGAGAGTCCAACGTGGTCCAAGGAGAGTTCTGGCGTGTGAATGCGCCGCCATTTTGTCGATTTCTGTCTTGACGGGACGGAAGTTGTTTCGTGATGCTAGGCTCGGCTAGTAGCATAAGAGGAAGCTTCGGTCCTCTTTTCGGCGGGTTGTGTTACGTCGAAACTCAAGCAAAAAAAAAAAAAACGGGTGGCGTTCGGACGGACAAAAATTGGAACACAAATGGTCGAGCTTGGCGCTGTCCCGGCGGGCCATTCGGCGACGCCAGACCAAAGCAATCGATCGAGCGGTCGTCCGAGCTCAGCCAACCAACGGCGCTAAAATGAGGATGCCGCCGAGCCGGATTGTGGACTCGGATGTGACCTTTTGCCGCCGAATCTTTTTGATGGCGATAAAATTGCCTGTTAGTCATTTAGATGCAGTTCTCATTTACAAGACATTTGCTTTCACTTCACGGGGAGAATTTCCCGTGGTGACTCGCAGGGAAACGGCGCCTGAGGTGGTTGTCTCACCTTTGACCCCAAGGCGCCGTTGTGCGGAACTCCTGTCAAATTTCACAAAAACAAACTCCTGTCTGAATTCTTCTGGAATACAGAAGGCGGCAGGTGTTTTGTGCGGCAAATCTTCAGCCAGACTGTCAGGTCTGGATTTTCTTGCAGCTGTAATTAGCAATAACGAGACCAAATCAATATCGTCAATATCATTTTGTAACCTGATCCATCTCACATGGTAATTTGATAAGTTTTCATTTGAACGAGATGACAGCGTCATCAGTGTCACGTCATGCTTATCGGTGACATTCAAGTGCGATTTCCACTTCAGGTCCTCTTTTGTCTTCTCATTCAAACTGAGAAGTTATCCTCTGAGAACGTGAAACTTCAAAATGATCACATTATGTGACGTTAAAATTCTCCTGTTAGAACTGATCACGTAATAAAGTGCAACAAAGTGTCACGTTTTTTTCAGGGAGCTTTTCACAGGCTAACGTGAACCTTCTCACGTTCAAACGGGAAATTCATCCTATGCTAGCACGATATCAAATTAAAAAAAAAATATTTATTTGTTTTTTCCGGTGCAGCAGCAATACGCCTTCCTCCTCGTCTTGCCTGTTACGCTCACAAACAAATGAAGAGCCGCCACGCACCGAAGATTTTGCCGACAAGGCACCTGGCAGCGCGAAACAAAAAGACATCCTGAAGACCCGTCAAGTTTCCGCTCGGCAAATGGCGGGGGTCGGGGGGGCCTCGCCAGCTCCAAATTGCTTTGCTGAGAAGACGGGCGCGGCGCAGGTAATTATGCAGACGGCGCGGGGAGCGGTGACATCAGAGCTAAAGCCCAGAGATGGAGCTTGTTAGCGGCCAGCTCCATTAAGGCTCGCCCCCGGCCCCTGGACGGCATCTCCGTTCTCTTCCTTTGTCTTCCCGGCAGAGCTAAATTGGCTTCCCCCAAGCCGCCGCGCTCATGTATATACATGGCAAATCCCCCGCAGACACGGGCAAATGCGCTCGCCCCGGCCCGACTGAAAAACCATGCAGAGTTTGGGTCAAGCGTTGGCCCCTCGCCGGCCTTTCACCGGAGCGAGGAGGCTCGGGAGGTGCCAAAAGGCACCTCTCCCGCCGCCGCGGCTGGGCCTCCTGTCTGCTGGAGGAGACAATTAGAGGAGGCGGCCAAAAAGCAATCGCCCGCCCGACTGAATCGCAGGCAGGAGAAATGACCCCAAAGTCCCTTCCCGGCAGGACTTGGACTCGCCCGCCAAATCCCGAGTCGTCATGCCTGCCGAGCGTCACAGGTGACTCGCCAATCGCCGTCAAACGTTTTTAAATGTTTTAAGTGGTACTTTTTGGTGATAAATTGTTATGCTTTTATTTTTTATTATTTCCATTTAAAAAGTTCTGACACTCATTTATGGAGGAGCAAAACGTCCATATTTCACAGACAAAGAAAGTCCACGCTTGCAAAAACTTTTGCAACATTTTTCTTTGTCCAGATTGTATTTTTGTATTGCGTTTGGCATTTCAAAAGATATCTTCGAGAAAAAAAAAAAAAAGAGTCAGATCTCATTTTCAGACATCGTTTTGAAAAGCAACGTCAAGGGGGGAAAAAAAAAAAATCCGCGTTTCCATCACTATTTTTCAAAAGAAATGACATCTTTTGCTCTCTGAAAAAAATCGCCATCCTCCGCGACCAAAGTTGGATTTCACGGCAGTAAACGAGAAGGGGCGAATCGCGCGCTCGATGACAGAGTGCAAGCGAAGGCGGAAAGGTGAGCGCCATTTTAGCATTGACGACTGGCCTACATACCGCAAGCGTGACTCAAAAGCTCAGATCAGATTGCACGGGCGGCATCGCTTCTTCTTCTTTTGTGTTGTTTTTTTTTTTTTTTGTTTTTTGTTTTTTTTTCCTTTCCATGCGTAATGGCCTCCATTTGGAACTACTTCCAAAATGCTATTACAGGCGCTTAAGTGGCTCGGTTCCAGCGCGACTTGTGTTCGCGCCAACCGCACTCGGCTGCTTTTTAAGCCGCGCGGCCGCACCGCAACGACTCGCCTCGCGCTCGGCTGTACAAAAAGGGGGTGAAGGAGGAAAACCCCCCTCCCCCCCCCCCAAAAAATGGAAAAGGGCTGATATTGGAGACGGCTTATTACAAGAATCTGTCCGCGTGATGAAGTGCAGATGGCGCCTGCCAACGCGTGACAGGCTACTGTCCGTGTCGGCGCCGCAGCGCACCTTCGAGGTTCTGAACTGATAAAAAAAAAAAAAATTTTTTTTAAATTCCAGATTAAAAAAGTGACCTTTTTTCAAGAATGAAGTTGGCCGATGACAAAGTCCAATTTTTGGACAGGGTTTATTTTGTGTGATTGTTTTTGAATTTTTCGGAGGGGGGGGGGGCGG